TCAAGGCCTAGGGTTTAGGGCTTAGAGTTTAGGATCCGGGGCTTTGGGTTCAAGGTTTAGGGTTTTGAATGGTGGCTTCACAAAGTAAGACACATTCTTCTTATGAAACGCTACATCCCAAAAACCCGCCTAATCCTAGATGAGCCAACTAAGAGTAGAGTCTCGTTCCATGTAGGGATTACTTCAAAGAACTCAAACAGAACTAAGGCTGAAGCTCACACGCCAGTAGGACGGGAGTCTGCCCCACCCTCTTGTACGTATGCAAAATCTGCAAATGTTAAAACTAAGCATCGTTTATGCTTCTGACCTGAGGAACCCTTAGCATTGAGATTGATGTTTGCCGATGTAAGATTCGCATTCCACTTAGTTCTGGTCTCTTGAGCCTCCATATTTTCAGCCGGGGACATGCATGCGCTGATGTACGGGCTGCTGAGACAAACTTGAAACAGATCGCGAACTGATGACAAAACCTCGCCAGCACTCACTGGATATTACATGGAATCCGGGCAATCGAACACGTCAAGCGAATTGGCCACATCTGCAGCTAATTGCTTCAGACGTCGCTGAGTGACACATACTAAACCACTGTGTTGGGCCGCCCCAACCGTGGCACTGTGCATTGGCGCAACCCAAGTCGGCTGGAACCGAGACAAGGCGAAATCAAGAAATGAGGGGAGGGTCTCAACGGGGAGAGCCCCCGTCGTCTAACTAGGTCCGTTGTGCACATTATCCTTCCCGTAGGGCCCCTTCCCCCATTTTCATAAGAAAACGGAGCGAGGAGCACAGCAGTAGCTGCAACTTCGGAATGCTGGCTCTGCTTCCTCTGTTTGCGTGCCGTCCATGTTCGAGAAAAAAGATAAGGACATGTGTCACGACTCATCTACCAGCAAGAAACAACGCTAATAGTAAATGAAAATAACATTCTGGAAACACTCCTGCTTGAGCAAGATGAAAAACAGTGTTGGGGCTTTCCATAGATTCGGGCCCTCTTTTGGGGAGGTCCTATAACAAGGACTATTGGGAACCCTTTTCATGGAAACCCCGTATTGTTTTTTACCCTAAGCCCAAAAACCCAAACCCTAAGCCCTAAATATCTGAAGATACGGCAAGCCTGCCTTTCTTCTCGAAAGATCCTTTCCTTTGGGACCAGAAGGGGCCTGCCCCACAAGCCTGATGTGTTTCAAGAAGTGGACGAAGGTGTTTAGGGTTTAGGAATTAAGGTTTCGGGTTTAGGGTTTATAGGGTTTATATGGTTTATTGGTTTTATGGGGTTTAGGGAATTGGGGTTCGGGTATGGAACTCTGTGGTGGGTCTAGGGTTCAGGCTTCAGGGTTTGTAAGGTCTAGGGCTCAGGGTCGAGGGATTACTCAACAGCAGGATCGCCTTATGCATTGAGAAATAATAATCCCTATTCAGCCCCGAAACTTGCCAAAAAAATGCGATGCCCGCCCCATGAAACGAACTGCCCCGGGGTTGTTACACATTTGTGTCACAATGGCCCCAATTTATCATGGCATGGGTCATTCTCAGAATGCGGGACCCTTGTTTTTGGGCTTTCTGCATAATACGGTACCTACTAATTCTTTGCGGAATACAAATGAAGTCCTGATTTCGGAAACCCTGCACATGTGGCTTGACACCAGTCTGACTCTGCGTAGAGCTCCCAAATACTCCAGAAAAAGCCTAGATACGAATTTTTCTGCTACGGGCGAATATTTTCCAGTCAAGAGCAAGTATTTGGGATTAACGGCAATTTTTGGGGGGGGTGTTAATACCCCTTGTTTCGCGGTTACAAGCCATTTTTGTTAGGTACTTGGGAGGCCCCTTAACCCCTTAACCCTACCCCTACACCCTAAACCCCTAAACCCTAAACCGCTACCAGTTGCAACGTTTGAAAACGTCAGGCCAGCGAAGCGACACGTAACTTCAACGGCTGCAAGCCACGCTGTACAAGTGAGAGCTTCCCAAAAATGAAGGGTTATTGTTTGCGGGTTCAGGGTTGAGGTGCTAGGGTTTAGGGGTTAGGGTTTTAAGGGTTTCGGGGTTTAGGGTTAGGAGGGTGGCTCTGTTCTACAGGCTGATCCCCCCATTCATGTTTGGGCATTGCTTCGGTCCCTTATTTTGGGGGAAACTGCAAAAAAGGATTTTCATAAATTAGGATTCCCCTTTTGGGGCAGCTATAATAAGGATCATGGTTTACTAGGGTCTGCATTGGGTTTCCCTATTTTTGGAAGCTGCAAATGCTGTGGCTTTAGGAAGAGGCGCTCGCGGCTGTAAGTCCACCTGGCCACAGATGGATGCCCACACAGGGAAACAACATCAATCAGCATGATGATGCTGATGATATGATGATGACGATGGTGATGGCGCTACCGAAGGGGGTGCGGGATGGTCTAGGTGTTATTCGTCGGTGGCGGCGGCAGCGGAGCACCAGCAGCAGCAGCAGCAGCAGCAGCAGCAGCAGCAGCAGAAGCAGCAGTAGTCGTCGTCGATGCTGATGCCATGAAGTACTTGTTGGGAGTACTTGTTGGGAAACAACATTTTTGGATCCCTGGCAGGTACTGTTGCAGAAAAATGGATAATCAGGTATATCGTGTGCTTAACAGCCTCATACACCTATGTTGCAATACAAACACCCTAAGAGTACTGTCATTTAGGCCCCTACATTAATCAAAAACAAGCCTCTCTCGCTGCCTCGTGTGGTGGCCAGGAGTGGGGTGACGCGCTCCACCAGCACTTCCCGCACCAATAATCGAACCTGGCAGCAGAACACCTAGACCCTAAACTGCACTCATATAGCGCAAGTTCCCGATTCATTGTCCGTGTTTCCATTTGATTTCCATTATTGTGGTGAAGTCCCTTACACCCTAAACCCTAAAACCCTACACCCTAAACTGTACATGTTGGGGTTTAGGGCTGTTTTTGCACTCCCTTTTTGCGTCTGGGGATCCAAGTAACACGTTTTGTGCGAACAGAAGCAAGCAAAGAAGTGCTCTGGATGTAGGGATTTAGGGGCTTAGGGTCTAGGAGTTTAGGGCTTAGGGTTTAGGATTTAGGGACTTAGGGTTTAAGAGTCTAGGGTTTAGGGCTTGGCGTTTGAGCATAGGTTTGGGGTGTAGGGCCTGGGGTCTTGAGGAACGGGCTTTGAGTTTTGCAGAGCTATCAAGATGATCTAAAGAAGGGCCTAGAGCCTTAAAGCCTTAGAGTTTAGTCTTGTGTCGACCAACAACAATTAGGGGTTTAGGCGCTAGGGGCTAGGGTTTAGGGCCTATAGGCTCCTTTGTCCCGAACAAAAGGAAGATCAACGATTTGCCCATTTGGGAGTTCCCCAAGTCAGTGACCCTACCGAGTCCACCCACAATTCAGTGCTCTCCTTCTCCGTGCATTAACAAACAGGACAGTGCCCCAGCCTCTCTTGCGTTGACCATGGTGAGGTCGCAAAAGAGCGGGAACAGCACGTGGATATGCCTCACACTGCCCTGAACCCCAAAACCGGCAAAGAGTGTCTTTCGCTGGACTCCCTCTGAATGCAAATCCGAGGCACCAAACCTCACCCTTCACCCAAACTATGAAGGAACCATATATGGCCTTTTTTCGGTATTGACAGAGCTCTTCCTGGGGTTTCATGTTAGGAGGGTACACCGTCTATGAACCCTTATATAAGCCCAGTGGCTATTTGATGTTCCATCTGGTTCTCCATTATCAAGAATATTTAAGCTGCTAAACCCGAACCCTAAAGACCCTAACCCTAAAACCCCAGAAACCCTAAACCCTGGACCTATACAAAACTGCCTTTGCAACCAGCACGGTAAGTTCTAGGGTTTGGGATCATCACCATCATCATCTAGATCAACGGCTCCCATTAGCCTAGTATTTGAGTTCCCTTTAGGGTTTAGGGTTCAACGACTCCCATCAGCCGAGTTTTGGAGTTCCCTAAGACACAACATCCGAAAATCTTCAGTTCGGCTGGATGACCCTAAACCCTACTAGGGGCTCTCGGAACTTGTAATCAGCGCCCTTGTAGAGCTTACGTTTAGGGTTTAGGTTTTCCCGAATGCGTAGCAG